TTCTCAGTGCTGTGCTTTTACCCGCTGCGCCACCAGGGAGGGCCCACCAGCTGTTTTTGTAAAACAGAAGTTGCCATGACTCTTCATCAGATACCTCTGGTCTCAAGATAGTGGTGCCACGCCCCCGTGTAGGATGGCGCTGGCCACCAGGACACACCTGAGACTGCATGGTCTCTCCTGCCCTGTAAGAATTGGGGTGGGCGGACAGAACCCTGAGGTTCCACCGACTGGGCACAGTTTCTCTGCTCCAGAGGGCCTGGAGTCCTTCTCCCTGGCCAGAGCCAGGGTTGTTCTCAAGGAAGAAGGGAAAGTTGCTGCTGTTCTTAGTGCAGCTGTTGAGCAGAAGAGTTTGGTAGGCCCAGGAGGCCACACGGGCAGTCGTTAAGTGTTAAGTTAGGGGGTGTAAGTGAGGAGTGCTCTCACTCGCCCTTGGCTTTCCTTCCTCCATCCAGCAACTCGTAGGTATTTTTGTTGTTTGCTGGATATAAAAATAACATAGACTTGCTATGAAAATTTCAAACAATATAGGAATGCTTTAGGTAAAAAGTAACTCTTCTCCCCTTGACCTTTCTCCCAATCCACTAGTCCACATGGTGTGTGTCCTTCCGACCCCTCTAGGTGTGTGTGAACGTGTGTGTACCTGTGTATCCGACAGAATTATATACACTTTTGCAGGGTCTTTGGTGACTTCCTCTCACTCAAAAATAAATCCCTGTCGTCATTCGTGCAGCTATATTGTCCTGCTCTTCATTGTCATACCTGCTTAGCGTCTCCTCATCTTGATCTTTCTTCCTTTAATTATTAAGTCACTCCCTGCAGGTCTCTACTGATGGATGTTTGAAGTCAATGTTTTCCAAGTTTTCTTTATTAGCAAAAATGCCACAAGAGGTGTCTTGGGACTTTCTACATATAGGCAAGTATGTAGGATAGATTGCTAACAGCACAATTCTAGTCAGCAAATATTTATTTTTTTAAAACATTATTTATGCATACAGAGCTGGGGTACAGGCCAGAGATGCAGGAGGTGCGGTGAGAGGATTCACCAGAGACAGAGTAGGGAGCAGAACAGACAGACTGACAAGTATACTGCTGAGGGGAGCAG